TATAATCTTTGAAATGTTCAGTCGATACCGGCCACCATCGGCACCGCTCATCGTGACGATTGTCTATCGAATACGAAGGTCTCGCCGTGCCATCATCATAATCATCGTTGTTGTCTATTAACGCCTCTCAATGCCATCACCATCATTATCATCATGAGTATCATCACGAGTAACACTCCCCATGCCATCACCATCAATATCATCATGAGTATCATCACGGGTAACACTCACCATGCCATCACCATCATTATCATCATGAGTATCATCACGAGTAACACTCTCCATGCCATCACCATGATTATCATCATGAGTATCATCACGAGTAACACTCTCCATGCCATCACCATCATTATCACCATGAGTATCATCACGAGTAACACTCTCCATGCCATCACCATCATTATCACCATGAGTATCATCACGAGTAACACTCGCCATGCCGTCACCAACATTATCATCATGAGTATCATCACGAGTAACACTCTCCATGCCATCACCATCATTATCACCATGAGTATCATCACGAGTAACACTCTCCATGCCATCACCATCATTATCACCATGAGTATCATCACGAGTAACACTCGCCATGCCATCACCATCAATATCATCATGAGTATCATCACGAGTAACACTCCCCATGCCGTCACCATCATTATCACCATGAGTATCATCACGAGTAACACTCGCCATGCCATCACCATCAATATCATCATGAGTATCATCACGAGTAACACTCCCCATGCCATCACCATCAATATCATCATGAGTATCATCACGAGTAACACTCCCCATGCCGTCACCATCATTATCACCATGAGTATCATCACCATTCATTATCTACGAAGACCTCCCCATACCATCAACATCATAGCCATCATCAGCAGTAGCTTAACCCACTGCTGTATTAAAGCCTTTCATCGCCATCATCAACATCATGATCATCATGATCACTGCCACGCGTGGTCTGTTGAATGCTGGATGAAGGCTTCATCATCATCATCACCAGTCATAGTCTATCCACTACTGGACGACGGCGTCCTCAAGCCATCATCATCATCCTCAAACCACAATCATGAAGTCATGAGTTCACATCCTGGTCAGGGGTCAATTCAGCTCATCATCCATTCAGGATTCATGAAATATGGAATCTTCGTGTATAAAACTGGGCCCCTCCATAGGAATGTGGAATTTCCTCCACGAGCTCTGGAACATAACAGCACATCCTATTTTTATTTTAGCAGTGAGGTTTTCTGCACTTTTTTTTTCCAAATTAATGTAATATTGAGTCCACCAGGTATTTTGGCCTCTATTATGTACAGCAAGTCTATGCGTCTCTATACAAGTCTATGAGCCTGTAGAATGATATGGGTCTCTATGTAAGTGTGTGGGTCTCAATTTAAATCTATGCTGTTTGAATCTACTTATTTAAAACCAGGTCTCCCTTGCAGAAGGAACTTCAGTCTCGATTGGGCCATCGTTTGGTGATCACAATCTGGATGTACGTAACCGGGTGGAGCAGTGGCACTGTGGCTAGCACACCGGCTCATGAATCCGGCCACCTGAGTTCGATTCCTATTCGAGGCTAACAACAGCGGCGAGTGATATCTGAACTGGTTCTGGGTGCCCCCTTCAGTCAACTCCGATTACCCACGCGGCATGTGGAAAAGGCACGTGGAAGACGTGCACGTGTATTACAGAGCACCTTAACGCAACAGCAATATCAGCACTGGGGAGACAAAGGCGGCCGGGCGTGGTGTTTGGCCAGAACACAACACCTCGAGTGCAATGCCCGGCCTTAATGTGTGCTCGCTCACAGCACTTGCCCCCGAACCAGTCTGCAAGGCAAACACGGGGAATCTTTGTGTCTTTATATTACGAGAGCGCATCTCGAGTGGCCAGCAGCAGCCGTCACCTGCTTTCTATTGGCTTCAGCGTCACAGTCCGCTGTGGTGGCGAGGGTGGGTGGGTGGGGGCAATTCATTGGTTCACTGATGGGCATAGTCGTTGGTGTCTAGCAAGAGATGTGATTACAATAAAAATAAACTTTAGACTGACCCAGCGTAGAGTGTGGTGATTATAATTTCGCTGCTGCTGATGATGATGGTGGTGGTAATTCCAATCTTTATACACTCAACAATCGATCAAGAGTAATTTAATTAACGCTGGAAGTCTCGATGAGTCTCAGGGTCTATTTGGCAGCAGGGTCCTGGCACTGCGAATGACGGAAACCCAACTCCTCCTTTGCTGGTCTCTTCGTGATCCACCAATCCTCCCCCCCCCCCCCCCACGTCTCATCTATTACGCTTCTTCTCAAGCAGCTCTGATCTTGTAGCTACACACCTCGGCTGTGTGTCCCGGGTTGACCCACACAGTTAATGAGTTTCATAAGTTAATGATAGAAGGGGATCTTCATTTCGTATGGCCTATGAAGAGCAACCAAGAGAGGTTCAGTTGCCAGCAGTGTATCCGTTCAGCGGCTCTGTCTGAGGGTCGGTCAATTGCAGGTGCGCCCACAACCGGCGCATTTGTATTGGTGTGGGGTGGGGTATGGGCAGGGTGACGTTGGATGAGCCGTGGTTTGGAGTTCGTAGTCGCAGTAGCAGCAGGACACATGAGAGTTTGAAAACAAAGAGTCGCGCACCACATTGTTACGCGATGAGGTGGACCTCTGCCTTAATAGGAACGCCCTGTAGAAAGCGCAGGGCGTTTCTCTGAACGGGAGTTGGAGCTGCTTGGCTGCTTTAGTGGATGGCCGAACGAGTGACTTGCTTAGCTGTCTGGAATGCTGGTTAGGTGGCTAGCTGAGTGGCTGACTGAGTGGCTAACCAGCTAGTTAGCTGACTGGATTGCTGAATGAGTGATTGCGTGTCTGGCTGGCTGGATGAATTTCTAGCTGGCTAAGTGACTGGCTGAGTGGGTAATTCATATTTGCCGGCTGGGTGGCTGAGCGTCTGCTTGGCTGATTGACCGATGGAGTGACTGGACTGGATGGTTAGCTGACTCATTAACTAGCTCGCTAGTTGAATGAGTAAGTGGCTGGCTGAGTGGCCGTTGACTAGATGGCTGGCTGATTCACGGTGGTTCGTGACTTAACTCGGCTGCCTGACTGCTGATGAAACTCGGCTTGAATGCCTGATTATCCAGTCGCACGCCTGCAACAGTTTGCACACATTCTCACCAGAATACCACTCACTCCGCACCGGGCGTGCATTTCTTACCATCGCTCATGAACCAGAAATCCCAAAAAACCCTGAGCGCACACACAAAAAAAAAACATCGACGAAAGAATTCAAAATATAAAAAAAATGTAAAGTGGGGCTTGGGCAGGACGCGTTCGCTCGAAGAAATGACGATGGTCCGTGACGAACGGACGCGGCCCAAAGCAAGAGATTGCGTGATAGGAGCGAGCGTGTGCGTGCGTGCGTGCGCGTGCGTGGGGAGCGGTGGTGTAGTAGCGGTTAGCGCGCCACGCTGCAAAAACTGGCAACCCGAGTTCGATTCCTACTCACGGCCGACACCCGGTGACGATTATCTGAAGCGGTCCTGGGCCTCTCCTCCTAGGTCGACTCGGCCTCAAATGAGTAACCGGTGCGGTGTGTAAACATCGCCACGAGGGAGACAAAGGCGGCCGCGCGTGGTGTTGGCCACCCACCCCCTCGTGTGCTGTGCCGGCCTTCATAGGTGCTCGCTAACAGCACTTGCCCCCAACAGTCTGTTGAGGCTACGCGGGGAGGGGTTTGTTGTCTTTGTGTTTGTGTGCAAACGGGCGAATGTGAAATCCTCGTGGGCTAGAGGGCATTGCGACGGAACGGCAGCCAGAGGAGGCATCACGCCCGTGAAGGATGTCCAACCGCGCAACACAAAGACAGAGGGGGGGGGGGGGGGGCAGAAGGAACAATGAGATCAGCTCGTGCGCAGGTGCTCGATGGAATGTCCGCATCACGCCGCGTGTGTGCGGAACAGCGGGGGGGGAGCTACCTGGGGGGGGCTATCCGGGGGGGGGCTACCCGGGGGGGGGCTACTCGGGAGGGGGGGGCTACCCGGGGGGGGCTACCCGGGGGGGCTACCCGGGGGGGGGGGCACACTCCTCGTGGAGAAGCCTCGACGCGTTTGTCAAGAATTTCGCGGCCTTCGAGAAGGCAAGCAGACCAAGTGCACAAGAGGCGACGTTTCGGCTACGGGTGCCCTTCCTCTACGGCACGTAAATGAATAAACGACGCTCACGTGTGTGGTGTTTTTTCGTGTGTGTGCGCTCAGCGCCGCATTATCGGGCGATCGTACAATGCCTCGCGTTATCGCGACAAATCAAGACGCGGTGTTGAAGTCGAGCGGCACGATTCGCGATCAAAGCTCTCGACGCATTCCCCGCGGTGACTACTACACGCGCCTTGGTGGTAGCGGCGGGGGGGGGGGTGGTGGAGGTGTTCATCCAGCAGTGGATAGATCATATCTGACGGCGATGATGACGACAACGGCGAATTCACAAACGCACGAGACCGAACGCAACACAGCACATCACGCGACAGTGCATCGATGATCGATAGGTCGTATCTGATGATGATATTGAATTTAAAAAAAAAATCACGCAACATCGGCAACGCAAAACGGCGGCTGAATCATATCTGACCTCGACAACGACGATGACGATAAATTCAGAAATGCGAGCTCACAACAAGACCATTACACTGTCACGTGTCACTACGATACAGGATGCCGTGTGAGACGCACGCGCACACAGGAACCCAACACAAGACCGGCGCATCGCAACGCCAACACGCAAGCCAGCGGGGGTAATCCTCCTGGAATCATCGCTTGAGACGGAGCGTTTCGTTCTGCAAGCTTGCCCCCGACGTGAATAATTCACGACGACCGCGACTCCTTAACAGACACGAGCGCAACCACCGACAACCGCGATTCCCGAGGATCCCGACTAACCCCAACACGAGACGGCTACGGCCGCTCCGCCCCATCGCCACCGCGTGTGCCGGCGACCTTACTGTATTGATTCTCGCCGTGCTCGCCCGTCACTCTCCCGTCCGATTGAATCTGCAGATGGAATCCGATGCCGATGTTGCAGTAGAGGCGACGCAGCCTGCGGATGCCGATCAGGTAGTCGCTGTCCTGGGTTCGAGCCAGGGAGTCCGTGCTCGGCGGTCGACCCTGACGGGACCTCGACAGCAGCGTATCCCAGGACCTGCGGTCCGCGTGCTGCTGATGCTGATGGTGGTGGTGGTGGTCGTGCGTCGAGAGGGCCGTGTCCGACTGTGAGATGTCCGACGCCGCGTGTCCTCCGGCCACCGCGGCCGCTGCTGCCACCGCTGCAGCCAATTGTCCCGCGGCTGCAACCGCGGCCGCTGAGGATGATGATGAGGAGGCTAGCGCTGCCGGTGCCGCAGAAGGGGTTGACGCGAGCAGGCTAAGGAGCAGCGCCAGCGGCAGCAGCAGCGGAAGGGAAGGTACCTGCCGCAGTAACGGCAGATCGCTCGCTACGAGCGCCCGCATAACTTTTGTGCAAGCGAAAGCGGCTTTGCACGTGGCCTCTCTCCGCCCTACCCCCCCCCGCTCCCCGCGACCCGACCCCCCACGAGCAACACGCCCCCACCCCTCCCCCACCCACCTATCATCCCCCACTCCTCCCTTACCAGGCCAGCCACCACGACTTACTCGATCCAACCCGATGCCACAAGCACGAGGGCCCCCTCCCTGCCGCCTGACGCATCACCGTGACCCGCCCACCTGACTCACTCAGCCGGGTGCTCGTCCGGAGTCATTACTCCCCTGCGCGCCAACACTCCCTCCTCCTACTCCTCCTCCCTCTCCACTGCTCCATCCCTCCTCCTCCCTCTCCACTTATCTCTCCTCCCCCTGCACTTCTCCATCCCTCCTCCCTCTCCACTTATCTCTCCTACTCCTCCCTCTCCACTGCTCCATCCCTCCTCCTCCTCCCTCTCCACTTCTCCATCCCTCCTCCTCCACTTACCCATCCCTTCTCTTCCTCCTTCTCCACGTGGTCCATCCCTCCTCCTCCCTCTCCACTCCTCTAAGCCTCGTCACCACCCACATCCAATATCATCGCCGCCGCCGCCCTGTGAACCCCACCTTCTTGTCTGCGCCATTCCCAGCAGACGCGGAGACACCCCGCAGAGACAGAGACATCTAGCAGCAACTCCCAGCAGCATTGAGGTTAGACACCCAGTGGAGACTGAGACACAGCAGCGAATGCTACAGCCACCTGCCCTCTCGCGAAAGCCGCCACAGACACCTCCACCATACATAACCCTAACCCCTCCATACATACGGAGGCACATATATACAAAGTTACCCTGATGGACCTTACATGAGTGTTGGGGCAAGTGCTGTTAGCGAGCCCCTATTAAGGGTGGCACGGCGCACGACTGGGTTGGTGGGACCGGCACCGATTACACGATTTGCAAAGATCCCCCATGCAGCCTGAACAGACGTTTTGGGACAAGCGCTGTTGGTGAGCACCCTTGATGGCCAACACAGCACAAGGTTGGGGGGGGGGAACACCACGCTCGGCCGCCTTTGTCTTCCCACATGCGGATTCTTTTACACACCGCATCAGCTACAGCTATTTTAAGGCGAAGTCGACCTGGGGGGGGGGGGGGGGGGGGGGGGGGGGGGGGGGGGGTGGGGGGGGGGGGGGGGGGGGCGGGGGGGACTCAGGACCGCTTCAGAATGAGACTATTTATTTATCCTGACAAAGCACTTCGTCCAAACGTTGGCTGTGAGCGGGAACCGAACTCGGTTTTCGTTGGTCGTCGGGTTAAGTAAGTGCAGAGCGCTAACCCCCACGACAATACCGCTCCCCACAATGCAAGACAAAGATAAAGACACAGATCCCTCCCCTCCACCGTATAGCCTTAACAGACTGTTGGGGCAAGTGCTGTAAACGAGCACCTATGAAGACCGGAACTGCACACGAGGGGGTGGGTGGCCAGCACCACGCCCGACCGCCTTTGTCTCCCCAGTGCAATGTTTTTTTACACATCGCACCAGCAACTCATTGAGGCTGAGTAAACCTAGGGGAGGCCCAGGACCGGTTCAGACACTCGTCACCGACGTTGTCCCCGCGAGCGGGAATCGAACTCGAGTAGGCGGGTTCGTAGCGAGCGCAGCGCTAACCGCTGCGCCACCGCTCCCCACACACGGCAAGACAACCACGGACGCCTCACGAGGGTGTAACCTCCTCATCTGTTTCCATCTGGTGTGAGAAAGACTTCTCGCCTCTCTTTCGAGGGCGTGTGTCAGTCAGCAGCAGGAAGTTAGTGAAGGGAAGAAAGATTCCTATATATATTTTAAAAAAACAATTTGACTAAAAATAATAATGAAGCCTACCAACCCCTAGGGAGCGGGACGTGGTACAGAGAGACACGCGGGGTAGAGAGACGTGGGTTACAGAGAGAGAGCTGGGTACACAGAGAGACATGGGGTATACAGAGAGAGACGTGGGTACAGAGAGACACGTGGGGTAGAGAGATACAGAGAGAGAAGTGGGGTACACAGAGAGACATGGGGTACACAGAGAGAGACGTGGGGTACAGAGAGAGACGTGGGGTAGAGAGAGTGAGAGACGTGGGGTACACAGAGAGACGTGGGGTAGAGAGAGACGTGGGTTACAGAGAGAGACGTGGGGTACACAGAGAGAGAGACGTGGGGTACACAGAGAGACTTGGGGTACACAGAGAGACGTGGGGTACAGAGAGACACGTGTGGTACACAGAGAGACGTGGGTATACAGAGTGACACGTGGGGTACACAGAGAGACGTGGGGTACACAGAGAGATGTGGGGTACACAGAAAGACGTGGGGTACACAGAGAGAGAGAGAGAGACGTGGGGTAGAGAGAGACACGTGGGGTACAGAGAGACACGTGGGGTACACAGAGAGACGTGGGGTATACAGAGTGACACGTGGGGTACACAGAGAGACGTGGGTACACAGAGAGATGTGGGGTACACAGAAAGACGTGGGGTACACAGAGAGAGAGACGTGGGGTAGAGAGAGACACGTGGGGTACAGAGAGATGTGGGGGACAGAGAGAGACGTGGGGTGCAGAGAGACACGTGGGGTAGAGAGAGAGAGAGACGTGGGCTGTTACGAGGGCGAGGAGCGTTAGGAAACGGGGGTCTACCAGGAAGCTGGGAGTAAGGCGTGCGGCAAAACGGGGGAGGGCGCCTGAGAATTCTAAACTGGGATTTCCACTTTCTCGAGGGGTCACCGCTGTCCCTGTGGAAACAATAAAAAAGTCGTTCGCTTTGCCGCTCGTTCGGCGTTCGGCACCCGTATCCTACTTACACAGTGGGTGATGGGCCTGTCCCCTGCACACGAATGTTGAATTTTCGCCTCTGGCTCAGGGATAGGATTATGGCTCCACGCAAACGCGCATAGAGCGCCAGTATGTGTTTACCGGTGTGCAGGTGTGTGTGTGTATTAGCGCGTGTATGTGTGTACTGGTGTGTAGGTGTGTGTGTGTATGTTAACGCGTGTATGTGTTTACCGGTGTGCAGGTGTGTGTGTGTGTTTAAGCGCGTGTATACCGGTGTGTAGGTGTGTGTGTGTTCGCGTGTGTATGTGTGTACTGGTGTGTAGGTGTGTGTGAGTATGTTAGCGCGTGTATGTGTTTTACCGGTGTGCAGGTGTGTGTGCGTGTGTTCGCGCGTGTTTACCGGTGTGTAGGTGTGTGTGTGTTCGCGCGTGTATACCGGTGTGTAGGTGTGTGTGTGTTCGCGCGTGTTTACCGGTGTGCAGTGTGTGTGTGTGTGTGTTCGCGCGTGTATACCGGTGTGTAGGTGTGTGGTGTGTTCGCGCGTGTAATGTGTGTACCAGTGTGTAGGTGTGTGTGTGTTCGCGCGTGTATGTGTGTACCGGTGTGTAGGTGTGTGTGTATGTTAGCGCGTGTGTGTACCGGTGTGTAGGGTATGTGTGTGTTAACGCGTGTATGTGTGTACCGGTGTGCAGGTGTGTGTGCATGTTAGCGCGTGTATGTGTGTACCGATGTGCAGGTGTGTGTGTATGTTAGCGCGTGTATGTGTGTACCGGTGTGTAGGTGTGGTGTGTTTGTTAGCGCGTGTATGTGTGTACCGATGTGTAGGTGTGGTAGATGTGTGTGTGTGTTAGCGCGTGTATGTGTGTATCGTGGCGCAGCTGTGTGTGTATGCACAGACTGCCCTATATGACATCATAACAACAGTCTGGACCACTGGAACGGTTCCAGCAGGATTGGAAGGATGCCCTGGTGGTCCCCCTCTTTAAGAAGGGGGACCGCACAGACTGTACCAACTACAGGGGCATCTCAACTCCTCAGTGTGCCGGGAAAGGTCCTGGCAAGGATTATTCAACATCGCCTTGCCAGGTACGCTGAGGAGAGGCTTGCGGAGCCCCAATGCGGTTTCAGGAAAGGGCGGTCCTGCACAGATGTCATATTTTCTGTGCGTTTGCTAAAGCAGAGGTGTAGGGAATTCCAGCAAGAACCTACATCTCTGCTTTATTGACCTGGCAAGGCCTATGATACCATCAGTAGGCCTGGGCTCTGGGTTGTTCTTCGTGCTTTTGGAGTCCCTGACCTCTGCTCACGATCATTAAGGACCTTCATGATGGTGAGCGGGCCCGGGTAAAACTACGTGGCCGGGAGTCAGAGCCATTCCCTGTACACCTTGGGGTGCGACAGGGATGTCCTCTGGCACCCACATTATTTAACATCTATTTTGACCACGTAGTTCGTGAAGCCTTCAATAGCTATACCGGGGGAATCTCCATTTGTACAGATATAATAGGAGGCTGATCGATGCCCGGGTGCGGTCAAGGATGGCTCCCTATTGCTCAACCACGTTATGTATGCCGATGATTTGGTAATAGCTGATCATTCAGAGGAGGAGTTTGGAGACGCTGCTGCTGAGACTAGATTGTGCCATTAAGAGATGGGGTCTTACCATCAGCCCCACCAAAACTAAGCACCTGCCTGGGTATTTTGTACCATCGAACACTCCACCCCCACAACTCCCAATCGGTGATGGGGCAGTTGTGGAGAGAGTGGAGAGTTTCCCATACCTGGGTAGTGTGCTTATGACCGGCTCCAGTTTAACAGCAGAGGTCTCACTCCGAATCAGTCGAGCGGCAATATATTTTCATCAGTTGCGTAACGCTGTGTGGAAGCTACGTGGTTCTGTCGCTCCGCACTAAGCTTCAGGTCTTCTCGAGCCACGGTCAATTCCCTCCCTTCTCTACGCTTGCGAAACGTGAACCCCCCTAATGGAACATCTTCGCCGGTTAGAAACATTTAGGCTAGCCTGCCTACGATCATCCTGGGTTTAACCAGGCTGGATTGTGTGAGGAGCTCACAAATCCTTGAATGATCTGGCAAGGTCCCATCGGTGAGCTCCTCCGGTGGGGAAGGCTGCGATGGCTGGTCATGTAGCCCGCATGCCCAGCCACCGCATTCCGAGACAGCTTTTGTTCGGCCGGATCGAGGGGGCTAAACGGGGCGCGGCACGGCTACAGAAGAGAT